GAGGCAGTGAGTGATCGTCATACCTCATCAGAACCAAGGAGGCAATGAGAAACGGCTTCGAAACAGCCTCCCAGGGGAGCTTGGGAGATGGGTGGCAGATGGCCTCAGACAAGTTCTTTACAGGCCTCCATCCTCTCATGTAACAGGAGGATCTCAATCCCCCCCAAATCAGGGAATACAACACTACAATCCAATCCAAAGACCCCACTGAAATATCGCAACTGTCCCAACAATTTCTTTTTCCTCTCTGGTCCAGAATCCAATATAGGAACACACATTGTACTTAGTTCTCATGTCTTAAACGTCTTTTTGTCCAGGGAAACTCCTTGGCCTGAACCTATTTTTCATGTCCTTGATAGTTAAACCACCCATCAACCTGTCTTAGCATCCACTGATGACCCTCACCTGAATCAACCACTACTATGATGATTACCCAAGGGTAATTTTCTAATTTCATCATTCCTTCTACATTTATTAGTTGACCCACCTATTCATTTTTATCAGTGTGGACTCACATTATTATATTATTCAAAGTATTATAATCCTTCACTCTATTTTGATGCACAAATTGTCCCAGATTTGGACAATGGGAGCCCCTTCAGGCTGGACCAATTTGCTTACTTAAATGGTTCAGAAAGATGGTCTGGGCATATATCATACTTTCTCTGCTCTAGCCCTGGAATGAGCCATTTCTTTCAGGGGTCGCTGTTTACCTTTAGTGAAGGACAGTATTTGAGAACCAAAATCTAGGTGATAGATGTGTTCATAGCTACTTCTAATCTCTGTTAGTGGACAGAGTGAAGAAATGTATATATATATATATGTATACGTACATATACATCACTATCTGTGCATATATTTTTTTTTCCTTTGAAAAAACTCCATATAAATACTTCTAATTTCAATCCAATCTCTTGAGGTTCATTTTACCCTTCCCTCTTTTCATGTTTGTTATTTTTCTGACACTGAGAAACCTAGCTCCCACTATCCTCATTATTTGCACAATCAAGTTACTTATTTGTTTAATGGACTGATGGTTTGCTACCTCCTCACCCTGAGGGTACCAGCACACCACAAATTCACTAGATTTTCCCCCACCAATACTTCTGTGCAGTAATTCCAGCCCTACTTCCTCAGCCGCCAGGCACTTTGACACCTCCATGTAACCACCTTTTCCCCCCAACTGCCTGCTTTATAGATTACAACTCAGATTATCAGGTTAGAAAAATAATTTCAAACTGCCATAACTCTATCAGTGTAAATAGTTCAGAAGGTGGTGGAGAGAGATGTTAAGGATGTCTATCCGATTTCTGATTTGTGCAAATGGTTGCTCAATTCACTGAGGTAAGAAACACTGGTAAGAAATATTCCCTAATATGGTTTAGACTGAAAACCACGAGTTCAGATTTATAAGTATTAAGAGAGCCAGTGGAAATGTGTAGAAGGCAGGTGGAAATGAAGATCTAGAGTTCACATAGAGGTCTGAATGGAGACACAGATTTGTCTGTCAACTCCATATAAGTAAGCAGCAATAGAGAAGCCTATGAATGAATTTGAGAAGGAACAGCTAGAGAACAGAAAAACCAGGAAACAGCAGAAGCCAAGAGAGGCAGATTTTAAAGAAGAGTGGCCAACTGTGTCAAGACTGAGAGGTTCATTAAGGGCATGAAAAGCATCTATTGACATTCACTATGTCCTGGAGGTCATTGGTGACATTGGCAGGAGTGGTATGAATGGAGTGATATGGACAGAGGTCAGAATGCAATGACTTGAATGAACAGAAAATGACAAAATGGAGAGAGAAGGCAAGTGTATATATTGTTCCCATCAGAGTCTTGGCTGTGATTGAAAATAGAGAATCTACTGACCAAAAGGGGTGCAGGGTTGCATAGGGAGTGCAATATTTTGTGTAAAGTAAGCCCGATTAGTGCAGGTGGGAAATTAATGATACATCTTCTTTATATCACTGTTCCTTGTGATGCTGAACACTTTTAAAGACTGAACACTGAGCTAAAAGGAACCTCGGTGGTGATCCACTCTAACCTTATAAATGAAAAAAAATGAAGCCCAGAAAAAGAAAGGGACATGTGCTCAACATTGGCCTGTAAAAACATTCAAATCATTTTATTCCCCTTGGGTTTTCTTTTCATCACTCTTATTTCATCAATTAAGTACCATTCCTCCTAGTTCCTTATTTAATACGTCTAACTTTTTATTTTGTAATAATTATAGATTTACAGGAAGTTGCAAAAATAGTACAGTGAGTCCCATGTACCCTTTACCCAGTTTCCCCCCAGTGGCAAGATCTTATATTACTATAGTACAACTTCAAAACTGACATATTGACAATAGCACAATACTGCTAACTCGACTACAGACCTTATTCAGTTTCACTAGATTTCACATGCATTCATTTGTGGGTGTGTGTAGGTCTATGTAGTTTTAGCACAGATAATGTAATCAACACCATAATCAAGATACAGAACTGTTCCATCAGCACAAATGAACATCCTGTGTTATCCCTTCATAGTCACACATATCCCATACCCCCTCCAGTCCCTATCCCTGGCAATCATTAATCTATTCTTCATTTCTAGAATTTTGTCATTTCAAGAATGCAATCATATAGTATGTGACCTTTTGAGACTGGCCTTTTCATTCATCATAATACCCTTGAGGTCTACCCAAGTGGTGTGTATCAATAGTCATCTGTTTCTCTTCATTGCAGAGTAGTATTCTATGGTACGGATGTTTGGTTTAATCACTCACTCAATTGCAGAACATCTGGGTTATTTCCAGTTTTTAGCTCTTACAAATAAGCTGCTAAGAACATCTGTGTACCAATTTTTGTGCCATCATCGCTTCTCATTTCTCCGGGATAAAAATCCAGGAGTGCAACTGCTGGGTTGTATGATACATGGATGTTTAACTTTATTAGAAATTCCCAAACTCTTTTCTAGAGTAGCTGTACCATTTAACATTCCTAGAAGTGAGAAAATAAGAGAGCCAGTTTGTATGCTCAACAGCATCTGGTATTTTCATTATTTTTTCTTTAGCCATTCTGGTAAGTATGTAATCATAATTCAGTGTGGTTTTCATTTGCATTCCCTGATGACTACCGAAGTTCAACATCTTTTCATGTGCCATCCATATATCCTCTTTAGTGAAATGTCTATTCATGTCTTTTGCTCATTTTCAATTGGATGGTTTTTTTTATTGTTGACTTTATCTAGTCTAGATTGATCAGACATACGGTTTGCAAATAATTTCTCTCAATGATTTCCTCCTCTTAAATTTTTTACAGAGCAAAAGTTTTTCATTTTGATGAAGTCCAGTATATTGTTTTCCTTTTAGGACTGTGCTTTTGTAGTGAAGGCCAAGAGCTTGTTGCCTAGCCCAAGGTCCTGATGATTTTTCTATGATTTTTTTTCCTAAAAGTTTTATAGTTTTACATCTTACACCTAAGTCCATGATATATTTTGAGTTAATTTCTGTCTAAGGTGTGCAGTTTAGGTCAAAGTTCATTTTTTTGCCTATGGGTATCAATTGCTCCAGCATAATTTGTTGAAAAGACTGTCTATCCTACTCCACTGAAATGCTTTTACCCTTTGTCAAAATCAGTTGGGCATAAACCACACTGTCTTGATTACTGTAGCTTTATAGCAAGTCTTGAAGTCAGGTAATGTGAGTCCTCCAACTTCTTCAAAATTGATTTAGCTTAATTAATTTTATACCTGGATATTTTCATTTTTCCTATAGGGAAAAAAAAGAATAGAGAAGAACTGTGCCTGTGGGAAATTAAGGAAAATACAGCATTTACACTCCCTATGCCCTACGGTAGTGGTTTTTAAACTATAGTATGCCTTAGAATCAGCTGGGGGTTCATGAAGATTTCTCGGTTCCACCCCCAGAGATAAAGTTTGACCTCCAAGTGATTCTCATGCAGGTGGACTACAGGTGCATTTCACATTGCAATATGAAAAACAATAATCTAGGGAGAAATAAGAAGAAAAAACAAAAACAAAACCCAACCCTTTGTCACTATTGTTGGGATTGTTTTCTTTCTTCCCACCTCCTCCAATGCCCACTTTAATTTCCAGTATGCAATAGGCTTGACTCTTTTCTAAAGACGCACTTACCTTTTGTGGTTATACACGGAAAGAATAATGCAACAGAACTTGTTAAAACATGATTTTTGTTACATCCTAGGTCCTTAATGTTTCTGGAAAAACATATTTATATTATAATGGAAGTTCTGAGGTAAATAGGATCTGCTCAATAGGAACTTGCTTCAGAGTCAAATATGCTAGAACTCATCTATATGGTTAGAAAGGGCACCCACACAGATTCAACCTTTGATAGGTATCTTAGAATACCTAATATTTTAGAGATCAAGAAGGAAGACGTAAGACATATGCCTCTCAATGAGGGCTAAGAGTAGAGGCGGGGTGCTAATAAGTCACCTTCACTTCCTTCCACTAACTCTAGTATACTCATGTACCTGTCCAACATAAACCTCGTAACTATAAAATTGAAACAGGAAATACTCTTCTTCCTTTAGCTTATTCTAGGGAGTGTCTAAAATTGAAAATAAGGACTTCAAAGTTAAACAAGGGAGAAGTAAGTATTTAAAATATGTTCCTAGGACATTTTATTACAAGATGTCCTTGCCAATGTACCTCCCATAGCCTTTAAAAAAACTTTGTCTACTTAAAGCATCTTCATATGCACTTTGTAGGCCAGTTACAGGTAAGAGTGTTCACTGATTCCTAATGAAACTTTCAGGAAGACATCTTGTGTTTATTGATTAAAACTCATCCACTGGGAGATAAAGAGAGCTGCTCCATTGTCTGACTACACACGAGGTGGGTGAATTTTCAGACCATGCTTAATATACAAATTGAAGAAAAAAAGTTTGTTTACCTCACTGTTCTCCGACTTTATTCTAGAGAAGAAAGTTCTTGCATAAGCTCTTCCTTTTCTTGTTGCAACTCCTGCAGATGCTGTTGGTTTTGCTCCAGTCTGTCCTCCAGCCACTGTAGGAGAGGCCCGCTGACTGCTGACATTTGACTGCACAGATTCTTGGTAAACACTTCAACAGGAAGAACACGGATGAGATAACACTCCACCACCAACGGCTCCCCAGTTGTGAGCACATAAAAGAAGCAGTTGGAGCAGGAGGTAGGACTAGCAGATGATTTTGTATCGCTAGCCAGGAGAAAGACAGAAGAGCTGAGCAAAGAAGACACCTATTTTGAGGCCATTCTGAATATCCCTAGATCCATAAGCCAGAGGGAAGCCTGGCTATGCAGAGAGAAGAAAGATAACCAGATCTTTACTCCCTTACACAAAAGGGCTAAGAACTATAGGTTTCTTTCCCCAGCCCTTAGGCCTTTGCACAGTGTAAATGACAAATGACCATAAACCCTAGAGAGCTAGAACTCTGCTTTCTGCAACTTAGTTTTCCACAAGTCCACTAGAAAAATTGCTCAAATGTTTTGCATATTTAAGAAATAAATACATTAATTCAACTCACCTGAAAGCTACTCTTTTAAAATGAGGAAAAAACAGAGAGATGAAGAGCAAGGGAGTTACCATCTTTCATATTCAGCTTGATGGTGAGACAAAGATTCTATAGCACTCATTTTTTTTAAGATTTTATTTACTTATTTGACGAACAGAGAGAAAGCACAAGCAGGGGAAGCGGGAGAGGAAGAAGCAGGCTCCCTGTGGAGCAGGGAGCCTGATGTGGGGCTCGATCCCAGAACCCTGAGATCATGATCTGAGCCAAAGGCAGACGCTTAACCAACTGAGCCACCCAGGTGCCCTTATAGTACTCATTCTAAAACAAACTCTGCCTAATGGAAATACCTTTTTCTCCTTCATAATACATGACTTATTGAGGGACGCCTGGGTGGCTGGGTGGCTCAGTCGGTTAAACATCTGCCTTTGGTTCAGGGCATGATTCCTGGCATTGAGCCCTGTGTCAGGCTCCCTGCTTAGCAGGGAGTCTGCTTCTCCCTCTCCCTCTGCCCCTCCACCCTGCTCGTGCTGTCTCTCTCTCAAATAAATAAAATCTTTAAAAATATATATGACTTATTGAAAATGACCACTGTAATATCTTCCAAGATGTATGTATATGACATACCTGTGTACATGTGTGCATTTGTATGTATACTTTTGAATAAAAACTGTATGATTTTGGATGTTACTTTTTTACCACATAACAATGACATCTTTCTGTGTCAGGAAAGATCTGGCTTTCTTTCTTAAGGGCTGCACAATATTCATCAGAATGGATGTACCAATTTAAAGATGTATTTATTTATGTGAGAGAGAGAGAGAGAAAGAGCACAAGCAGGGCAGGGGCAGATGGGGAGGGAGAAGGAGAGAGAGCCTCAAGCAGACTCCACACTGAGCATGGAGCCCGATGAGGGGCTCCATCTCACAACCCTGAGATCGTGACCTGAACTGAAACCAAGAGTTTCAACTGCACCACTCAGGCGCCCCATGGATGTACCAATTTAATGAGTCTTCTACTGATGGACACTTCAGTGGCATCCATTTTTTTGCTATTACAAAGACTGTGGTTAATATCCCTTTAAATTTATTTTTGCATACTTGTCCTACAAATTTTTGAAGGATACATTTCTAGAGGTGGAACTGTTAGATTCAAGTACATGTTTATTTTAAAACTGATTAGCCAGAGGTGCCTGGGTGGCTCAGTCGTTAAGCGTCTGCCTTTGGCTCAGGTCATGATCCCAGGGTCCTGGGATCGAGCCCCGCGGGGCTCCCTGCTCGGCCAGGAGCCTGCTTCTCCCTCTCCCACTCCCCCTGCTTGTGTTCCCTCTCTAGCTGTGTCTCTCTCTCTGTCAAATAAATAAAATAAAATCTTTAAAAATAAATAAATAAAACTGATTAGCCAGTATTTTCCAGATTGCACCAAATTATACCTCCAGGAACAGTATATGGGAGCGTTCACTTCCCCCACATCTTCACCTAAATACCTCTCAATTTAATCTTTGCCAAAAGAAAAGGTGAAAAACTGCCATCTTAATCCATACTTCTTCTAAAGATGTTTATGAACAATTTGATTTTTCTATAAAAGTCTTTCATTCTTTTTTTTTTTTTAAGATTTTATTTGAGAGAGAGAGAGCATGCATGAGCAGGGGGAGGGGCAGAGGGAGAGGGAGAAGCAGACTCCCCGCTGAGCAGGGAGCCCGATGCAGAGCTCGAGCCCAGGACCCTGGGATCATGACCTGAGCCGAAGGCAGACGCTTAACGACTGAGCCACCCAGGCATCCCAAGTCTTTCATTCTTTCTTAGTCAGCTTAATTAAGCCAAGTCTTCCCAGAGTTTGAAAAATATCCTCTTTATTTTCCTCCTGTATTTTTTTAACTTTTAAAATGAGCTATAAAGGGGGGGGGGGGGCGCGCCTGGGTGGTTCAGTCAGTTAGGTGTCTGTTTTCAGCTGAGGTCATAATCCCAGGGTCCTAGGATCAAGTCCCGCATCGGGATCCCTGCTCGGTGGGGAGCCTGCTTCTCCCTCTCCCTCTGCCCCTCCACCCTGTTCATGCTCTCTCTCTCTCAAATAAATGAATAAAACCTTAAAAAATAAAATAAAATGAGCTATAAAGGGCATAATTTATAGACAATAAAATGACCCCATTTAAAGTGTACAGTTCACTGAGTTTTGACAAACGTGTACCTGTGGTAATGATCTCTAGTGAAGAAACAGATCCTTTCCATAAGCCCAGAGGGCCCTCTGCAGTTCCCTTTACCCTTTGGCCCCAGCAGCTGCTGATCTACTTGCTGTCACCACAGATGACTTTTGCCTATTCTTGAATTTCATATAAATGGAACAATAAAGTATGTAGCATTTTGTGTAATCCTGCTTTCACTTGGCATAATGCTCTTGAGATTCATCCAGGTGGTTCATTTATCAGTAGTCCTTTTTGTTGTTGAACAGTACTCCATTGTATGGATGGATCACACTTTGTCCATTCACCCACTGACAGACACTGGGTTGTTTCCACCTTTTGGCTATTGTGAATAATGCTGCTATGAATATTCCTATGCAAGTTTTCATTTGAACACCTGTTTTCATCTCTTTGGGGTATATATACAACTGGTGGAACATTTGGTAACTGTAATTGCTAACTCTTTCCCAAAGTGGCTATCCCACATTTAATAGTCAAAGTTCAAATCTAGGGGCGCTTGGCTGGCTCAGTCAGAAGAGCCTGCAACTCTTGATCTCAGGGTCATGAGTTTGAGCCCCACATTGGGTGTAGAGATTACATAAATAAACAAACAAACAAACAAACTTAAACATTTTTTAAAAAGCTTAACTACATCTGGAATTTATTTTTTGTGTATGATGTTAGTTAGGAATCTATTTTCCCCCAAATGGAAATAGAAGAATAGAAGTCCATGAAAGTTAAGAATGTCTCTTTTGTTCAGCTGGCACACAGATACTTCCTGAATGAATAAACTATCAAACAAAGGAACTGTCCCAACACTGGTATATAATCCATCCTTTTTTATTGATTTGAAGTAATATCTTTCTTAAATATAAACTCTTATACACACATTGGGCCCATTTGTGGGCTCTATTCAGTTCTACTGATTTATTTGTTCATTTTTTAGTTAGTACCATACTATTTAAATTACTGTGGGGCACCTGGATGGCTCAGTCATTAGGCAACTGCCTTCGGCTCAGGTCATGGTCCTGGGGTCCTGGGATTGAGCCCCCCGTCAGGCTCCTTGCTTGGCGGGAAGCCTGCTTCTCCCTCTCCACTCCCCCCTGCTTGTGTTCCCTCTCTCGCTGTAAATAAATAAAATCTTTAAAATAAAATAAAATAAATCACTGTGGCTTTAGAATATGGCTACATGTCATATACTACCAACTTTTAATTCTTCGTCATATTTTACCTCCAGACAGAAATGATGGGAGAGATATACCAAGCTATCTCTTCTTTTCCTCTCAAAGTAATGGCCTATAACTTGAAAGCCTCCCTTTCTTCCTCACTGGTGACTCTGCCAGTCACTGGGAAAGACTACACAAAGTGGTCTGGGAATCAGGGTTATTCAAAGAGAAGGTATGGTAGGGTAGGTGTGTATGCTGGAGAAAAGTGATTTAGTATGTATATTGTATTGAGTTTTCTGCTCCTTGGCCTTGTATAGGAATTCCTTCTGTGTTTATTGACATGAAAAGATTTCTTCCTTCATACCCTCCCTTTTATCTGTCTGTCTATCCATCTCTTTCAACTCCCACCATACTAGGCTGGTAGTGCTGTGCTGGAACCAATTTAGATCAGCCCATGAAAGCCAACTACTGAAATTTCAGAAGTCTGTGAGCTGGTTGAGGCCACATTAGTTGTTTAAAATCAGCCATGGTGGAAACTGGCAAACACAAAAAATCAGGGCCCTTCCTCCTCCCTGAGAAAGTCGATCATAAAGTTCGTCCCAGTCTTTCCTCCAGCCTTACTCTAGGTAGCATATAGAGTAAAGGGTCTGCAGGGTTCAAAAGAAAAGTTGGGAGCAGGATTAATGAATGGCAAAGCTCTTGGAAAAGGAAATTCAAGGAGAACTTGAACCTATTACTTCAAGCACATAAACTAAATTTGTTTCTGTCAGCTGAGTATTTCAGAGATCACTGCCTATATTTTATTTTTTAAAGTCTTTTTTTTTAAGATTTTATTTATTTATTCAAGAGAGAGAGTGAGAGAGCACAAGCAGGGGGAGCAGCAGAGGGAGAGGGAAAGGCAGAAGCAGGCCTCCCACCGAGCAGGGAGCCTGACAGGGTCTCGATCCCAGGACCCTGAGACCATGACCTGAGCCAAAGGCAGATGCTTAATGACTGAGCCACCCAGGCACCCTCACTGCCTATATTCTAGAAAAAAGAAATCTTACCTGAGCCATTATGGATCTTGGTTACTGAGTCCAGATGTGTAAGGCTAAAGGGATAAAATAGTTCAGGTTAGTAGCAAAGCAGCAGTGAAGGGAAAACAAAATGGTCATAGACTATGTAACAAAATGATAAACTGCACCAGACCTTTGTGAATTGGATTAGATTGATATGTATAATTTAAATTCCATTATAGTTAAATTTTTCATGATTTGGAGGATGTAATT